TCATGCAAATTTAAACATTCATACAACACATAGTACTAATATTGACCGTAAGACCCTTTGACACTTTTCATTGTTTTGTGACTTGAAATCCAAAATACAAAAAAAAAGAAAAGAAAAAAACCAAGCGAAAAGAAAATGAAAACCTTTTAAGAATAGAAAGCGTATGCATCTTGAGGTCTCAGGTCAACATTGATATTTCGTAAGGGTAGCTTAGAAAACCTTACTTTTGTAGCAAGTCTTTAAATATATAATCTAACGACTATCTAGCAGGTTTAAATATGATTGTAAACCAGAAAAAGACGCGAGCGAAAATACACAATTGCTATTTCGAAAAGGAGGCACGTGACCTCAGTTTGAGTAACATCTCACACAGGGATTTTTCATTTTGATCACCAGATCAGAAGCTTCTCGACTGGGACCTTATTTACTTATACACGGCATATCGACAATTAAGGTTTTTTTTTTCTTTTTCGTAATAGATTCCTTGCTCCATAAAATTAAAATATAAAACACCTGCTACTCTTAACTAGTTTGAATCAATTTTTCAATGCAAACTCCGTGAAAATATCGATACGGATAGCTTTATTTAATGTCTAAAACATGAGAGTGGACGCCTAATCTCCCGAGCCAAAGGCTTGTTGTAAAACGCGCGACAAAACCTAAATTTAAACTATGTGCACATTGATAAACGATAGAGAATATGTAAGCTATAATTAACAATTATTCGCCGAAGTGGAGGTAAATATTTACCACTTTCACTGACACTAAGGTGAATTCATGTTTGTATATACTACACAGAAACCAGAAAGAGTAGTTTATTCCTGTCAATATACCAAAAAATAGTCAGAAATTAAATTGTTGACGACTGATTTTGTCTGTTCGGCTGCTCGGAGAAAATAATTTTTGCTAATAAATACTCACGCGCCCTAATTTTCTGAGCCAGAATATAAGGGCGCGTGACAAGCACTATTCACCTGTGCGGTATATAGTAATATAATAACACTATCCATACTGATGCTAACTTTCAAATTAAGAATAAAAATTTCAGATTATGTACAGTTAAATAACTGGCACCCTCCACACTTGACATTGACCAAGCTGGAACGAAATTGTTACATAATAGTTCAAGACTTCAAGAAAAACAAAATAGGTTTCATGTGAGGGGAATCATGTATACAAAGGAGGTGCACGTGACAAGACCATGTAAGGTGGCTGAACCACGTATAAGCCAGATCCAAGGAGATTGTGTTTATTTGACTTAGATGTGAAAATACTGTCGAATTTAAAATCGTTCGACTGTCAGGCATATGGCCAGAAGGCAGTTTATATGCTAATGAATTTTTATTCGACTTTTTTTCTCTTTCTCGTTCATACTTCGTTATATTACAAAGTTATTGCAAGAAGGAGTATTTCAACGGACATAAACTTTCCAAAAGTCTCCAGTTGACAGGTCGTTGTTGATCAGTATAAATCACAAAAGCTGCGTAGTTGTACAGACGATTCTTTCCAACAACGTTTAACAATATCATCCAGCCTCCTTTGCATTAAAAAACAAAAAGAAACCTGCTTCCATAAATAACCGAGAAAAAAAATCAACACTTGAAAACAAAAAGTACCAAGGTACCTCCATCAGTTGTCATTTCGCAAAAAGCCTTGAAGGGGTTCCCATTGCTTTGTGGGTCGATCCAACATTCTCCTTTCCCAGTGGAATCTCCATTCTGAATAACATGTTGACAGGACTCTGCAGCTCTGGAGGGAACTGACCCGAGTAAAGCTGCAACAAAAAATATGCAGACAAATCATCATACTTTGAATGCGTAATCAACATATCATACGACTATAGAGAGCACAATAAACGTTGTTAAATGAAGGTACTTGTACATCGTAATTCGCGGTTGATGACAAGCAAGCAAAAGTTATAATTCCATAACTAAAGGGTGCTCTTAATAGGACAGTTTTTATGCCACTTGGCTTTAGGAAATGGGTCAATTTGATGGTAGAAGGTTAGATTCTAGCAAATTTAACCGTCGAAGTCTACTGTTTGACGGAATGACGTAGACTAATTACGTATTCTTAAGACCTTGTTGCTAAGTGAACTCATTACGAAACCAAATTCCCTTGAAATAATGTCTTTCAATTTCTTCAGTTGTCGAAGTACCAAGGAAAAAAATTTGTTGGCCCACACAAGTTTGCATGATAACATTATGGCAGAACTATGTAATCACAAAGTTTTAGCAGACACAGACTGATAAGCATGCCCAAGTGTTTTGAGGATATTCTCATCTCGATATGGGTTATCAGCATAAATAAACCCTTTAGACTGGTTGGGATGGACATTTTAGTTTCTTTCTTAAACTGGCAAGTTAAAGCCTAAAGTTAAGGCTTTGACACGCAGGCTGTGAATTGCAGGCAATACAACACGAAACCAACCGAACCACAGTGAACGATTTGTACACGTCATCTGGGAGAACCAATCCAAGTCCAGATCATTGCGTCAACTTACATCGCTGAGCATATATTTTCACCGAATATAATGCCAAAATGAACCAGATCGAGACAACATCTATCTAGTATCGTCAGTGCCTGCAGTTCTGTTCCCTGTGCGTGCCCCAAAGGCCTCAAAACCAACCGGCTGTAGGGAAGTTAGCACTTTTTTTCTTCGAAAATGTCGTGCAATCATTCGATTTTAAATAGCCATACAACACATAGTATTGATATTGACCGTAAGAACCTTTGAAGTATTGCATTCTTTTGTGACCCGAAATCCAAAATAGAAAAAAAAAGGAAAAGAAAACGAAAACCTTTTAAAAATAGATAGCGTATGTATTTTGAGGTCTCAGTTCAACTTTGACATTTCGTAATGGTCAGTTTCGAATGCTTAATATTTTGTAGCAAGTCTTCAAATCTATCAATTAGCGATTATCTAGCAGGTTTATATATGTTTTTAGACCTGAAAAGAAAGCAAACAGAAAAACACATTGGTTATTTGGAAAGAGAGGCAAGCAATCACAGTTAGAGTAACATATCCCACAGGGATTTTTTTTGCTTTGATGTGATAAACATCACCAGATGCGAAGGCTCTCGTATGGCACCTTATCTGTTTTTACAGGGCATATCAACGATTAAGTTTCTTTTTTTTCGATTATGTACTTCCTTTCCCTTTCCGTAAAATTAAGATATGAAATATTTGCTATTCTCAAGAAGTTTAAATCAATTTTTCAGTTGAAACTCCGTGAAAAGACGAATAAGGATAACTTTATTTAATGTTTTAAACATGAGAGTGGACGCCCAATTACCCGAGCCAAAAGCTTGTTTTAAAAACGCTCGATAAAACTTAATTTAAACAATGTGTACAGTGACGAAGGATGGAGAATATAAGCTATAATTAACAATTATTCACCGAAGTGGAGGTAGATATCTATCGCTTTCACTGAGGTGAATAACTGTTTTGGATATACTACACAGTAACCAAAACGATTGGTTTGTTTCTGTCAATATCAAATAATAATCAGAAATTAAATTTTGACGCGCGATTTTGTCTCTTTGGCTACTCGGAGGTAATAGTACTTGCTAATCACCTCTGAACCAAGAGATAAGGGTGCGCGGAAGCATTATTCACCCTTGCGGTATATAGTAATGAAAATCACTCTAAATATGTCCAAGGCTAGTATCCAAACTTATACTAACTTACAAATTAAGAATAAAAATGTCATGTTATGTACAGCTAAAAAACTGGTACCCTCAATACTTGGCATTAACAAGGCTAGAGCGAAATTTGTTAAATAATAGTTCAAGACTTCATGGAAATCAAACGAAGGTTCCATGTGAGAGGAGTCAAGTATACAAAAGAGTTGCACGTGACAAGACCATATAAGGTGGCTGAAACACGTGTAGGTCAGATCCAAGGAGTATGTGTTTTCGGTTGACTTAGATGTGAAAAAAACTATTAAATTTAAAATCATTCGAATGTCAGGCATATGGCTAGACATTAGTTTGTATACTATTTGATTTCCATTTGACTTTCTCTCTGTTCACTTATGCTTCGTCCTATAACAAAGTTATTGCAAGAATGTGCATTTCAACGGACATAAACTTTCCAAAAGTCTCCAGTAGACAGGTTGTTGCTAATATTATCATCGCACATCCAGTGGCCACCAGTAGAAATTATCCAGTGATAACTGTGGGCCACAAATGCTGCGTAGTTGTACAGACGATTCTCTCCAACATTATGCCTGACATGTCCCCACTTACCATGATATGCCCATGTCGCACAATTCTGAGCTAGTCTTGAGTTGTCACCATCCATACGGACGAAGGAGTCACACGAGTCCGGCATCTCATCTCTTTCACCGCTGAAATATCGCACCACTTTTGCACCTTTGTTGTTCAGAGTCGTTCTGACGTGGAATGTTGTTCCTTTTTCTTTGCTGCAATGAAATCTTATCTGGGTAAAGTTTATGTACGCTCTTAGTTGGTTCATGGCGCTTTTGGTTATAGCCATTTTGCCGTTTCCATAGTTACGCATACCTTGAAAC